TACATATTTCATATGATAAAAAGAATTGAAGTCATTCAATAATATACATGGAGCTTGACCCTAATTTATACAATTTAAAAAGTATGAATCTCTCCAGTATTATCCTGTTGGTAGATGAAGTAGAAAATATGCTCAACACATCGGGCTTTGATGAGTAATTCATAAACAACACCAAATTGTTCAGGAGACTGAGAGACAGATCAAAAGAAGCAAGTATTTTGAATGTTTCATGAAGAAGCTAACTGCCTTTGAAAAAGCTGCTTCAGTTGCCTAAAGTAGTCTTTTAAAAAAGTTTCATTTGCTTGTGTAGTAGAACTTTTCAACTAGAACTTCTTTTATGCTTTGCTTTAAGTTGCACTGTGCTGAACACAGATCACACATCTAGTCATAGAACTGGAAGATGCCTGTTTCAAAGGCTTTGATATCTGACCACGCAGTCAGTGATGTGTTTAAACAGACACTCAATGACAACACTAGACACATAGGACCTACATTGAAGAACATACCCGTAGAAGGTACAGATGAGAGACACAGGGTAATACATGCTGTAAGCATTTAGGCAAGAGGCTCAGAGAAGAGGATTGTCTGGGGACAACTTTAAGAGGTAATAACACTTAGCACACATCTCAACAAATGAGTAGACGTTGGCCAGATAAAGAAAGGCAGACGTTCCAGGATGGGATAAGTGTGCAAGGTCATCACAGAAGGAAAAAGCTCACACCTAAGAACTATAAACACTAAGAATGCTTAGAAATAGCAGTAGAGGCAGGGCACTTGGAACAGACACACAAGGGGGTGGTAAGGGTGGGTGGAAGGGGGCAAGGAGATAAATCTCGTATAATAGGGAAGGGGCCTCAGGGGAAAGTGCAAAGGTGAGGAGGAAGAGCAGGCGAGGTAAGTAAAATAAAAGTGTGTCATGTACAGCAACCAAATTGCCTCTGTTAGTGTAAACATTGTAAGTTGTAGTATGAGCAAAGATTGTGTTATTACAAAAATGAAAACAGATAGTGGAATTCGAAAAGATGAGAGGGAGAGGAGAAGGAAGGGAATTAAAAGGAAACAAAACAAACTATGCTGTGCATGTGCAGCCACTCCTCAAGGTGGCAGTAAACTGAATGAACTACAAACGTGTACTAATAAAAGTTTTTATTTTTATGTCTTGTAGTACTGGGGATTGAACTCAGGACCTTGCACTTGTCAGGCAGGTGCTTAGACTTCTGACCTATCTCCCCAGCTAAAATTTTTTAAATTCTTAAAGATGAAGAAGAGAAAAACTAAAGATATAAATCCCACTTTGACTCAGCTATTCCTCTTCTAGATAAAGAGTTGAAGTCACATTGCATGGATGCATGCATACCCTTGTTTATGAGATCACAATTTATAATAACTGAACCTTGGGAAAGGTCTATGTGCCCATCGCCAGGTGGATGGATAAAGAAAATGTGGTGCTTACACAAAACAGAACACCACCAGGCCATAAAGAAAGAACAACTCGAGGCATTTGTAGGTCAGTTGATGCAACATGGGACTGTAACATTAATTGAAATAAGTCAGACACATAAGCTTAAACAGCATATGGTTTATCTTACATGAGAAATGTGTGTGTGTGTGTGTGTGTGTGTGTGACAAAATAAATAATTAGAAAGTAGGAAGAGATCTCTTTTAAATGGTTGGGGGAACAAGAGAAAATGGAGAAAGAGGGAGGGGAGAGAAAAGGAAGGGGAAAAACTGAAGAAAAAATGATAAAAATAGAGATTTTGCCTACAGGAAGTGGATCAAGAATTGGAAAGAGGGGAGAAGACATTCTCTCAGGCTTTCACAGAGAGCACACTGGCCAAGCAATGGCCGTGACTCATCCACATGGCTGCACTGACAAAGGTTCTTCAAT